GAGGATAGGTGACATTTCTCAACATTCCTACAGTTCCATGCACCTACATTGGTTACGTTTCACATTAAAGGTAGAAAGTTTTTTACATATAAGTGTGTGTATGCCACAATAATCAGAATCATTCTCTCCGGATGAAGCTAAAATATGTTAAATTAGGAAAACTAACAAAAAGGTAAAATAGAAAACATTTAGACATACCACTACAGTAGGCATAGAGTGATTGCACAAAGCATGCCTGATCTTTAGAGGGACTGGCCTCAAAAATATAGGAGAACTTTTTAGAAACCCACACTTTCTTCATTTCTGCAAAACTAGGAGATCCACCCTATAAAACACCATATTACGGGTATGAACAATTATGAAAAGTACAAGATAAATGAATAGATGATGACGACGAGTTGAGCTCAATGAAAGGAATGAGGATTTATATCGCCAACCCCAACTTGCTTGGGACTGAGGCGTAATTGTTGTTGCAAGATAAATAAATAGATCTAAACTATGCTTAAATTAAGGGAAAAAACAGGCATATTAGTACCTTGCCAAACTCATTTATAAGCTCATCAATGTCTAATTTGAACGGTTTGAGGTCCATATTGTTGAAGTTGACTTCTCTTTATGGCCTACAAGTAGAACATTTCTTCATTTAGCTAGTGCAAAGAGCATACACAACTATAAATTCAATATCACTACAGTTAGAAAAGAAGACGGCCAAGAACATACAATAAGAACCAACAGACCGCTGTTTGCTAGGACTGAGAGGTTGCATTTGTAAAGTAGATAATGATACATATTTGCAGGTTCATATAAGAATAGCCTAATAATAAGAATTTCTCATAGAAAACATATCTTATTTAAACATAGTAGTGGCTATTTATTTGTTAAATACAAAGGTTGGTTCAGATCATGAACTATTCAGTATTAGCAACAAAACAGTCAACTACAATCCTAAAAGTTTACATATCAAAAGTCTATCACATATTATTTCCAGATTTATAAGTTGTAAATAACTGAAATGCATAAACCGGAAAAATCATAGCAGGTGCCTTTCCATAACATCAAATGCAAAATAAAACCCGTGAAAAAGAAGGATAACAAAACGGAGTGGTACTAGATGCACGTTGTATCCATCCTCTAATCTATCACAGTAACTATATATGAAAAACAATTGTCGCACTTTCAAAGTGAAGAAACTGATCAACACATCAGATTCGAACTTCTATGCCCTAAATTGTCTAAGTACTATTACATGGACACAAACCCAAATTACAAAGACTAGCAATGACACACTCGATAAAGAAATCTAATTTTCATAATAAACATTAATAACCAAACCAAGGAACGGGAACGATATTCAGTATATATTTATAAAGTAACGAACCACTTACATACAGCATATGAATATTAACATTACCATTATAATTGTATTTGATGACTTGACATATTTTGAATTAGGTACACTTTCAAAAACTTCATCCTCCATATAAGAAACTAAAAAGATTAAAATATTCTTCACCAATTTTGCTTCACAAGTTACTTTTAGTGTATTTCGTTGAAGAAAAAGCTCATCCCACCCTTAACTTGAGAAGCAAATAAACAAGTTTTCAAGTCTTGTGCAGATGTGTTTCAAGATTTAAGAGCTCCATAATTTCAACAATTTTAACCTCTGGTGTAGGGATGACAGTGGGCGTGGTGGGGTGGGTGCAGGACCGGGCTTAACCTGCAAAAATTTCAACCCCCCCGATTCGATCTGCATAAACCCGCCCCGCCCTGCCCTGCCCCGCAAAAATCTTTTTTTTCCCCTATTTTCTACTTTGTTATCTATATATTAATAAATTCGAAAATTCTGAATAACTTTCAAAAGAAGATTTCCAAGTAATAAATTATAAATTTTTATATATGCCGATTGGTGCTAATGTAAATGCATTACGATCTTAGGAGCAAATAGTATTCATCTGCATTTGTGGGCTTTATGGGCTTTAGATCATAATGCTAATGCAGTCGTATCTACATAGTTATCTATTCGGTAAAAGCAT